TTGTCAGCTTTATTCTATATAAAAAAAAATATACACTATCTGGCAAAAGTCGACGTGTGAATCATGTACTTGTTGATTCTTTCACCACAGAGCACGTAGAAAGCACGTAGGAACAGTGATCTAATTTACGTTATTATGAAATTTAAGGCGCCCGCCTTATTATTTTGTTTTTGTTAGGTTTTTCTAATGTTTAATTTAAAATTATATCTGAGGGCTTATTTAAGTTAAGTACAAAATACACCACATAAATTAAAAAAATACGTTTGTACAAGCTATGTTTTTTATGGTACGATTTTATTTAAAAAAAAAGTCCCGCCGGTTTTCTTGCTGTTCTTTTCTAGGACAGAGGTTTTCTTCCGAAGCAAAGTAATAATTCACTTTTAATAAGATTAACTCGTTATCATTTATGAATTAAAAATTATAATTATCTAGTTGTATAAAAGGCCTCCCATCGATCTTCTGCATGTCTTACCAGGTCGTCACTCCGTTAGTTGGAAGCCGCCCTACACATTGTATGAATAAAATAGTAATAATGTTTCATTGAATACAACTAATTTAACAGATTTTATCGCATTTATATGTTCAACTAATTTTAATTATTTTTAATTTCCGAAGTTTCGGGTGCTTTACATAATCTATGATCATGGAGAGGGGACTGTGCCGTAAGGGTACAGAATTAGGTGGGTTCTTAAAAAACCAACAATTGTTGTAAATTATTTATTTATCTTACTTCCGCACACGTACAAGTAAGTTCTATGAAGGGGATCACTGGCCTGACGTAGGGGCGAAGTCCAAGCGCTGTTCCCCCGGGCCGTAGACAGCCAGCTAGCACAAGGAGCCGGTGAAGCCCAAGCCCGACAGTGATGATGGCCGTTGGCTCGCGGCTCGGCAAGCAGTAGCTCTTAGGTAGCAGGTAGATGCTTAGGTAGCAGGTAGATGCTTAGGTGGTAGTAGATCCTAGGTAGCAGTAGATCATGGCTGAAGTGTTTGATGTTACAATGTCATAGTTAGCCCCGGCTATCTTCAGCTTTTGAATATTAGATCTTTACCTATTAAATTGCCGTTTTTTATGAAGTAAGTTAACGTGATTTTTCTTCTATTTTTTTATTTCTATTAATCTAAGTAATCACCCATGCAATCGATGCATTATTGCCAACGTAGTGGTAGTTTATTGATGCCCTTCTAAAAGAAATCAGCTGGACGAGAGGCAACAAAATCTTCAAAGGCATTTTGTGCTGCCTCTCGGGTATTGAATTTTTTTCCCGCCAAAAAGTTATCCAAATTTTGGAAGCAAAAAGTCTGTAGCCGCAAGGTCTGGTGAGTACGGCGGATGACGGAGATCTTTCAACCTCATCTAATGTAATTTGGAGATCGTCTGTTGTGCAGTATAAGGTCGCACGTTGTCGTGCAGAAGCAGCAGGGACGAGCGATTTACCAAAGCTGGTTGGAGACGTGCGAGCTTCTCCATCATTGTGTTCAGTTCTTTGCAGTACACATCTGCTGTAGGTAATGCTCACCCCGTTTGGTAAGAAGCCGTGATGAATCACACCGGCGCTATACAACCAAACAGTGACTATCACTTTTGCAGGGATAAGTTTTCGTTTATGGCATTGGTTTAGGTACTGAACCAGGATCCAACCAACTAGCTGAGCGCTTGCGATTGTCGAACAGAATCCATTTTTCGTCGAAGGTAACAATGCGGTTCAAAATTCCTTCGTTTGTGCAAGGTACGTCTCGACGCGTACTTCGCGCTGGCGATCATTGAGTTCGTGGGGCACCCATTTGTTAAGCTTTTTTACCTTGCCAATTTGACGCAAATGGGCCAATATTGTTTTGATGCTAACGTCGAATGCTGCTGCTAATTCAGTCGTATATTGAAGATTATCAGCTTCCACAATCGACTTTAATTCGTCATTGTCTACCAAAGTTATCGGACGACTCGGGGTTCGTATTTCAGGTCGAAATGTCCAGAACGGAACCGGGCAAATCAATAACAGATGGTGCGTTCATTTGTAGTATTCGCTCCGTAAACGACGTTGATGTTGCGTGCCGCTTGTGCCGCGTTGCTGCCACGATGGTACTCATATTTCATAATTACTCGAATTTTTATCGTATCCATGATAACATTTAAATGCGATGAAAACATAACGCTAATCAATAAATAAATGACTAATTTTGAAAAAAAGAATTCCATGTTTTTAAAACAAAATTAATTTGAAATTAGAACTCCCAGCAAAACAAAAATTATTTTGATTTGAAATGGCCAGTACTGCAGAACGGCAATTTCATAGGTACCTATGAAACTATGTACATAAGTACCTATATACCTATTATTAATTTTTGGTCTGATCTACGTAGAACGAGCTTACAGTATCTTGAAGTCTTGTAGTGGTATTTTTGGGTTTGGATTTAATTTTACTTGTATATTGAGTCAGATTATAATTTGTTTGATGGATAACTTTTGTCTGATAATTGAAAAGTTAGACTTAAATTGAATGAACGCACGCTTTTGTACCTCTGTACTCGGGAAAGTATTTCCGCTACTTTTACGAACTGGAAATAGAATGAAAGAGACAATAGACAAGGAAAATCCTATCCCTCTCACAGTATAGTCATTACCGAAGTAGGGCTCCATACATCGCTTCCTTCGTTATTTTTCCTTGCACCAGGCTAAAGGAATAAAGGTTTCTTTACAAATGTATTGCCGACTTAATGATTGTGCTAAAGCTATATTGCGGTGAATGAAACTAGTTTTACTGTAATTGCGTTTTTGCGTTTATCTCGTTTAATTAAGTTATTTCATAGCGCGATATTTTATGTCGCGTTTAAATAATTAATTTTATCTATTTATATTATTATATTTTTAATTTACTTTACAACACCTATTGTAACTAGGGGGGTACTGATGTGTTCGACGACCCAATGTCAGGTAACCACGGCTACCTTCGGTTTAAAATTATTATTTTTTGACCAAACTATGCAGAAAGAACTTATAGTATTGAATAAAATTACTTTTACGGATTCTATCGCGTTTAATTAACTTATTTTTTATTAATTTCCGACGTTTCGGGTACTTTACAGCACCCATGGTCACGGGGGACTGAGGTAATTGACGTCCCGATGTCAGAGTTAACCCGGAGTACCTTCAGCTTTTTTAATTATTAATTTTGGTCCGATCTACGCAGAATGAACTTACTGTGTCTTGAAGTCTTGCAGTGGTATGCTCGGATTTAGTTTTAATTTTATTAATTACAGGATCCCAAGCAGGTGGTAGTACCCAGCCTCCCTCTCTAATGAAATTAGGATGTTTTTTAATTTTAATAGCCTCACGCATCATCCTTGGCAGGAGTCGATGATCTTTCGCTAGAATTCGTGGTTTATCAAATCTAATGTAATGGCGGGGGCCGTTTATTATATGATCACAAACTGCAGACTTTCCGAAACGTCGGTGTTTCACGTCAGCTATGTGTTCTTTTACGCGATTTTTGATAGATCGTTTTGTTTGCCCTATATATAAGAGACCACTTTCACAATTAAGCTTGTACAATCCTGCATCTTGTAGAGGTATATTGCACTTGACGGATGGTAAGAACTGACCCGTTTGACTCGCGTTCTGTGAAATTTACAGAGAGCGCTTAGTCTCTGTGCTACCACGGCTCTTACAATGATACTTATTAAGCGGCGAAGCTTGCGAAGTCACTTATTGATTTCACGATGTCTGTCCGTCTGTCCCACGATTATCTCGAGAACGGTTTCGAATTTTCAAATTGTTTTCAGCAATCGATTACTGATCACCCAGGCATCTGAACCTCCTATTTTGAAACTGATTGCTCAACGGCAACCGTTAGAAACCGCTACAAAGCTGATTGCTTCGCCACTTTGCTATGCTGTTAGCTTGCTAGGTTTATTTATGTTGAATCCATTAAATGAAGCTAATTTTACGGATTTTCTCGCGTGTAATTTTAATTTTTTATTTTCCCTACGTTTTACAGCACTCATGGTCATGGGGGGGAGGGGGCTGAGGTGTTTTTAGAATAGAATAGAATAGAATAATTTTTTATTCAATATTGATTATTACATAATACTTATTGAAAGTCATTTTTTATTTACCACTGGTTCGGAAAATACCTCAGTCCTGGGAAGAACCAGCAAGAAACCCAGCGGGACTTTTTTTTTAAACATAATTTCACTTAACAATAATTTTGTTTATACAATTTTTAAATGATTTTTCATAGAACCAGCATGGTGGCGATCACCCTATTCCCAGAGGTTATTTTCATTCATGTATTCCTTGATATTATAATAAACCTTTTTGTACAGTTTTTCTTTAATAAAAATTTTAAACTTGTTTATTGACAAACTTTGAATATGTTTTGGTATTTTGTTGTAAAAGCGTATACATTGCCCCATAAATGAATTACTGATTCTGTGGAGTCTAGTAACTGGCATTACAAGCTTATGTTTGTTCCTAGTATTTAAATTTGACGTCCCGATGTCATAGCGGGATAGTGTACTTCAGCTTTTAAATATTAATAATTTATTAATTTTTGGTCCGATCTACGCAGAATGAGCTCATGTAGTGTTCGCATAAATATACGAAATCATTAGAATTCATTACCCCATTTTGCCACGTATGTGTCATTGGAGTCCAGAAAGATTTTGTGGCTTTTAGTTTTTTATCCGAGTTCAAGATAAGGTTTATATTAATTACAAAAAAAAACGTATGCGTCAAGTACAACGCGTCCGTTTTTTGTATGTTCGCTGATTTATCTGAATATGAAATCGGCATAACCCATATATGTGATTCTTTTTTTAATTGAAAAGTTTATACTTTAGGGGTGATGATTGATTTAAGGGGGTGGTGAAATTTTAAGAAAAAAATCTCTAAGGGTGAAAAACGGAATGAAAATTTTAATGTAACTATTTAGTCGACATTTTAGTTGTTATACGTCTTGTAGCTGTTTTGTACTTTTTATTAAAAGTTAAATTATTCTTTTCAGCTCTCTCACTATACTCGCTTATGTTCATGAGGTTCGCTTGGAAGGTGCAGCCGCGCAACTTGCTTCTGTTTGCGTGCCACTTCACGAACGAATGCGCACAGCTGACACAAGGCGCGAGGTTCATCAACTACCATTACATACAGGGTGGCGAGAAGAAAGAAAAGAAAGAATCCTCATAGGTTATTTTATAGCTGAGACATTATTAGGGTGTGTGTACACAGTAATTTTGTATCGACACTTGCAACATTTATAACCTGTGTAAAGTAAATATCGTATAATAGATAAAGTCTTAATCAAGAAAATATGTATATAATAGTCGATTGAAATTAAGCAGTAAGTAGGTAGAGAAAGAGATGTATGTACATATTATCTGAGGTTTTAAACCCAAGTTATTTCTTTATGTGTGCCAAACACAAGTTATTGCTTTATGTGTCTGCAGTTATGGCGGTGTTTAAAAAACTTGCGCCTCAATTATAATGTTTACGTATAATTACGTATTGCCGACGTTTAGAGTCTGTGTGGATTCTTGTGTGATAGAAAAATATCTTGGATAGTTGGCTACTCTCGACTCGATATACTGTGGGTGGTAATTATGGGAGTTAAGAAATTTAATAATGTAGAACTATGTTTAGCAGTGGATTATGAGAGGATAGATGCTTGGTATGGAGTCTGAGATAGAGTACGCTGCTGAGCCATCTGCATCCTTCCACTGCCTGCGTGTTTCATCAGGTCGTCTTTCCATCTAGTGAGGGGTCTCATGTTTTCATAGATGTAGGTAAACAACCAGCATACAGCAAAACTAGTTGTATTGTTTTAAAAATGTGCTTACTGTTTTGTAGAACAATAAATTAAAAAAAAATGCATATTAAATGAAACAAATTATTAAGGTTTTTAACGCGTATATTATATTAACTTATTTTATATGCTCGACGTTTCGAGTACTTGACCCATGGTAACAGGGAGACTGAGGTGTTCGATGTCTCAATGTCATAGTTACGTACCTTTAATAATTAATAATTTTAAACTGAAAATAGCCGCAGTTAACTTAAAATCCATATAAATCAGTTTCATTTAAATTTTTAGTGTTCGCGTAAACATAAGAATTATAGAAAACATTACATTGCATACCCATTAGTTAGGCAGGAAGAAATACGTCACGTAAATGAATAATGTGACATATATTTATTATATTTAAATAATAAAAATTACAATTGAGTATATAATTTACGACAAGCAACAAGGCTACGAATCTTTTATGTTATGTTTATCTGCAATCACCTTAATATTGACAATGACTAGATACTTTGCTTTAATAAACGTACTTACTGGTATCGATACAAAATTATCCATGTGTCTTTGCCCTTATTTGCGGCGCTGATGGCCGTGTAGATTAATATCATAGTGACCGGGAGTCCTGAAGATTCAACTGACGCATACAAGCGTTTTGCAACGCACACATAAGTGGGGTTCACCGACGTATGTTTAGCGAGAGTTGATAAAAAAGCAGGGCTCCTAAACTCATTACAAAGTCCGTTAATTATTTATCCTGATAGATGATAAAAATAATGATAAAAGGCTTGTGTTGTCAAGAGTTTCATATGATTAGATACTAAGTGTTTTAAGTATGTAGTGTGTATTTGTGCATCTGTGTCTGTATGGCATCATAGCAAGTTTTTTTCGTTTGTAAGGTGTCGAGAGTGTTCTTAGCCATGTTTCGAGAAAATCTGTTCAGCCGTTTGAATATCATTAGCTCTTTTTGTTTTTGGTTGCCCTCCAGACCAGATTATTATTATTTATCAACTCTCGCCGAACAGACTTTAGTGGACAGAGAAAATAGCTCGATGTCCACGTCGGTAGTATTAAATATAGCTTTATTTTCTCTGGCTGCTACTGTACGTCAAACCCCCACTTGTGTGTGTGTGTGTGCGTGGTGAGACTGTATGAAGTTTCCGCACTCTCATCCACTTTGTTAATTCTGACACAGTAAAAGTATAGAATATAAATAGTTGTATCATAAAAAATGACGCTGCGATAATTAGACGTGTAATATTTTATTTTTAATCGTTGCAATCCAGTATACATTTTAAAGTTATTTTTTTATTTATTAGTGGGTTTTTTATGTTATTATACTAACTACTCTGTAGCTTAAAAAAACAGAGAGTCATAAGGACTGCTGACAGATTTGAAAACTCAATGATATAATATGTGTATACATGTACAGAGGCCGCTAGTATTGCGACGCGTACTAGACATGCTTGTGACGTGATGCAGTGAGCATGTCGAGGTTATCGGTGACGCGAACCCATACTACTAATAACTTTTTTTCTCTACCAAAAATCGCTCAACGCGGCTAAAGAACTTTTTTAGTCGCGTTGAACTTCTAAAAACTTAACACTTTCACTGTCCGGTTTTCAGACACAATAGTAAGACGATAGCAAGTAAGTAGTGCACGGAGATAGCGAAAGGGTTAATTTTCGCACAAACTTTTCTGTATTATATATATTATTATATATATTACCTATAGACCTATTAGTTGCTTCTTTAAATGGCAATTGAGGTGAATTAGATTTTAGTCTATTTGTGATTTATATTTATTTTGTATGTTCTGTAGCTTTAAAAGCAAAAGAACATTATAACGTAGTCGCAGCAATATATTCGTGGCGTCATTTTTATGTAAATACGTATATTTTTCGAATATTTATTGTAATTTAATAGAATAGTTATACCCCGTTATTGATCTGTTTGACATTGTTTTGTTGTCTTCCATTTTAAGGATTTTGAAGTATAAATAAAATTACAAACAGTAGACAAACTTGGGTTTATTTTATTCTGCATTTATATTCCGTTCACCTCGTATGATGTGGTTATTGTATTTCGTAGCAATGGTCTTCGCATATAGCAGACAACGGTAACCGGTGAGCTTTTATTCGAAAAAGTTTTAACAGCGTAAAAAAGGACGCGGGGGCTTGTCATGGACTTAAAGGACGATGTTGCGGTGTGGCGTTCATTCGATTGTCAAATCAAAGCACAAAAGATAATATTTTAATCATAAACACTCACGCCTGTCACACAGAGGGGCTGGCAGAGACTACGTACTCCATATGGCACGATCCTGACACACCTCGCCTCCTTAACATTCATATACCTACGCATACATATTTGTCGGTTAATGGTAGTTAATTTGACCCATTTTCAATGTATCGCCAATTTAGTCGTAAAACTTTCGTCTAGGGCGTCTCTTGCCGACTCTGTCGTTCAGAGGTAGATTAAAGGTCGCTGCATACAGGACGTAATCAGCACGTGCAACGGACGAAAACTGAATGTGGTTGTATGTCAACACGGACGGGAGTGTAATGCATTCGCAACGTGACTGACTCGAAACTAACGTGCTAGTGTTGTGAAAGATGGATTTTTCATTTGAAGAGTTTGCGGAGTTACTGTGCATACGCAGCGGGACCACGGACGAGAAGTGGCGCGCACGGGGCGGGACGGGGCGGGACGGGGTAAACACCGCACGGGGCGGGGGACGGGGTAAACATCGTCGCACCGATATTTTTCTCGTCCTGTTCATGCCACGTCCTTGTCCCATCAGTGCATCCGTAACGTATGCATTTTCACGTAGATTTTCTATGAAACCATATTTCCAAAATTTGATGTCCCGCTCCGTCCGGAATACAACACGTTACGTATGCAGCGACCTAAAATATCGACAGCGCCCTAGGCTAGCACCTCATCGGCGTCCCTCTAGTGGTCATATATTATAAATTAAAATTACTCAATATTATAATTTATAATATAGTTTATAGTTGCAAAATAATTAGAACACGAGTACCCTTAGTTGGGCTTGAATAAAAAATGTGATGAGAAAGTGAGGGCGATGTAGGAGTAATCAATTAGCGAATATTTTTCGTTTGTAAAACTTCTGCGCACGCCACTTTTTAAACTTGCACCCCTAAGTACGTGCTTACTTTGCCTTAAGGATAATATGCCACTGCTGCCGTTCACTTCTGCCATATGAATAATAATTGATAATAATAATTATTAAATGAGTAATTCGTTTTGCGTGGTGTTTTTTGTCGATACCATTATAATAGTTAATAGAAATTTTAAGTAGTGATTTACGACGTGCTAAATGGTAAAGGTAAATATCGCGAAGAGATCTGCATGGGCAAGAAATGTAATATAAATGTATTTAGGTATGCGCCGTGTAGTGATGACGTAAAATATCAAATCATCACGTCAGTATTATAAGAGGTGATAGAGGGAAATGAAGCAGGAGACGGGTAGCAGCATTTCCTGTTCTCGAAATATTAAACAACAAACAAGAAACAAACAGCGGTTGCCTCCGAATATTTCCTCCTATAAGGCAATTTATATGGGTGGCCTACGTACAGCAGTGGACTTTGAAAGACTGTAACGATGATGATGAGTTAGAGAAGTGATTTCGCACGTGTCAAAACTCTTTTAGAAGAATCCTGTGCTCAGTAAGAATACATATTATGTAGGTTATTATTATTATTTTACCATTTGCCATGTATGATTTGTCGAATATACGTGGTAGAGCCACGCTGCAGCTATATTACGGTTGTAGCATGAATATATCAGCTCGACCGGAGAAGAACGAGGCTTTCCTACAGACATAAAATAGCTTAATTCTTCTACGTTTGGTTAATGTAAGTAACTCCATTTTTTACTGGAAACGGGGTCAGCCTAAACTTCAGGAGCCACAGCAACAATTTATCATCAGGTGGACTGTGTGCTCGTTTGTTACCTTTATTGTATAAAAAAATTAGGAACTACTTTTTAAATCTTACATAAGAGTCATGCAACTCCGTAGTTTACTTAACAAGTGGGCGCTGCAACCAGCGAATGCTAGCGAAGTTTTCGAGGCAACTAGTTAGGATGATGCATTTTCAGAGTTTAACGTTAGGAGTCAATAATTAGTAATAATTAAAAATTAAAAATTTTGTACAGCCGACTTCAATATAAGTTATTTAAGAATAACTCAAAAACTATTGATCTGACCTTGATAATTTCATATGGGATCACACGAGAAATATCAGCTTTCATATAAAAAAAGAATCATCGGAATCGGTTCACCCAGTACAAAGTTATGAGGTAACACACATAAAAAAAAATAAACAGTCGACTTGAGTACCGTCTCCTTTTTGGAAGTCTG